TATTTATCTAATTACAATATGTTTTTATGAAAGGAATCCAACGCCAGGAAAGATCATCAACAAGCCCGACGGAGATAATGTTTACCAAGGAGTTAAAATCGACTACAAAGGAAAAGTAAGAAACTTTTGACTTTATACTTTAATACAAATATAGCGGCCAATGAATTATAGAAATACAATGTGAATACTTATCAACTCACTCTGATAGTATACTAATATTCTTACACATAAGAGGATCTCGATACACCCATAAATATACCTTATGATAAGAACACATACAATTATTGATAATGGGTAAATCATAAGCATTTATTATGTATATGAATATATAATACATGATAGTSAAAATACAGAGTAGATACATGATAGGTTCCACAAGAATAATATAGYTTTCTCACAAAAATTGTTTTACCGTTTAACATAGAATATACCATATCCATAGGCGCCAATAATCGGTCGCTGGAGAACTAAACTCATTATATAGCCCCCTAAAAACCAGAAGATTTTACACTACATAGAAATGTATGTAAAAATAGTCACCTATACATTATAATCTTTGGCCACCCCACACCCCGCCACTCCCAAAATTCCAAGCACTATGCTTTGCTTCTATGAGTACCTACATCTAGTATAATGTATTATTATATTAGATGTATATACCTAGTACCTACTGAATTGTTTTACATTTTCACAACATTAAGGATATTGCATACTTACCTACACCTTTTTTTCTACCTATTGATTCTTGGTTCATATATTCCTCTTTTCATCATAATAAGTAGGTAATAACTAGTAACATAACATTCTAATCAAGGGATGGTTATTATTTTGAATTACGTAAGTATTACAACTATATATTTTTTACCGATATGAATCAAATATTATGTAATTGTAAAATATTTTTGTCATACAAAACACTTTTCAAAAAGTTACAAGTTGCAAGTTACAATAAGTTCAATAAGTTACCTTGGCTAAATATATGGTTATATTATAGATGTATCTATTCCAGATAAATCAATAAATATTAAAAATTTACAATATTTTTTCAATTTTAAACTTAATTTAAATTATTATTAATATTTATGTAATGTTTCCTTTCGTTTTGTAAGGACGTGAATAAGAAAAATTTCCTAAAGATCATCACCGGTGACAAAGCAGGCATGCGATCCATTGGAACTGGCAGAGTCATTCAAGGGTAAATTTTAAATAATCATGAAAATAACAATTTTTTAACGTTTAAGGAGTAAACCATTTTTAACTATTAAAAGCTGTTTTTTGTTTCGAGGCATTTTAATTATATTGTTATAATAATAAAATTTTTAGGTAAAACCGTAAAACCATACTGAAAGAATTTCGTTAAGAATATTTAATTTTTGCAAAATGCTCAACATTAAATAAAACTAAGAAAACAGCTTTGCAGCCAAAAGCGGATATTTGCAGATCACATCCGTGGGGGGCTTAATATTTTTGTCTTATCCATTAGTGTAACCAGACATTAGACATTTTATGTTCTGTGTGGTATTATTACATTTAGAAGGCGTTTAAACCACCCCCCTCCGCACACACACACACACACACACAGACCCCCCCCCATTATCCACCTGGGCTTACAGATTTATCTATTAAAAAAATTAATATAGGTAATACATTTTTAAGTATCTCGTGCTGTAGTAAAACATAAATAAGGACAACAATTTTATTTAAAAAATTCAATATACATTTTTTTTTTCATTTTTTTAAATAAAGAGGACCACTCGATAGAATTTTCATTAATTTTGTCGATCACGGTTCRACTGGATTATTAAGTTTTCCACATGATTATTTGTACGCCGATGAACTGAACAATGCGTTTAATAGAATGCATGGAAATAAAACTTATAAAAAGGTAAGATTTTGTCATCAAAAGRACGCCACAGATTTACAAAATGTTAGTTAAGAAAAGTTAAAAGTTAAAATCACGCAACGCACAAACTATAAATTAACTTTAAAAGTCTAAAATCTTTGACAGGGCTTTATCAATATATTTTTTTTACATCATTAACACAATAACAACTATTTAATATGTAGTWTAATAATTTTTTTTTCTTAATATGCTTGAAAATTTTTTTTCAAGCATAATAATATCATAAAATTTGAATTTTATGATTAAAAAATATTTTCTTATATCTACCTATTACCACATTTTTTTATTTTTTTATTTTCTATATGATTTTATAATGGTAACGTTACAACTAACAATGATTATTGATTATAGAACAGAAGTAATATAGTTACTAAAGTTTAAGTACTAATATTGAATAGTTACTTTAAAGTACATTGAATTTATTTTATTAACATTGCCTATTTCAAATGCCTTATAAAAAACGAATGTATGGCGTCCTTTTAAATCTTAATTAATATTTTAAATATTATTCACTATATGTTTTTTTTTTTTGATATTTCCTGTTTAAAAAATTTCCTCGAATAGATGTTGTTGTATGTTGAAGCGTGTGAATCCGGATCTATGTTTGATGATATACTCAGTGAAAACACAAACAGTAAGTTTTAAATTTTATATTTTAAACATTTCAAATACCTATTCAAATCCTTTTTGTGTTTTAAAACTTCGAGTTCACCATAAGATTATTAACAATTTTTTAAAATGTATTTATTTATTTTTTGACATAAACGTATAACTGCAAATACCTAGGTACTATAAAGAATAATCACATTATTCAATGTTGAGACTGCATAGTTTTTTTGTTCTAGCTATAGTATATCAATATACGCATACTATAATAAAAATAATGATGTGTTCTTATTTCAGTATTTGAATTGAGGGATACACAGAGGATGGAGTTGAGGTTTTTTGAAAGAATATTTATATGTAGATCTCTTCTAATTATATCATAATTAATAAGACATTCAAACATTCTTTTTACACTTTTACATCTTCTTTCAATTTTTATTTTTGTTCAATCGCAGCAACTATTATAAGTTGTGATTAAAACATTACAAATTTGATTAAAATAATAATAATAATAATACATTGATTGACTATTTTAAATATGTTTTGAAACTAGTTTTTGCAGTAACCGCGGCTGGACCTAGAGAAAGTTCATACGCTTGCTACTGCAGTCGTTCTGAAACTGGGTATTACCGTACATGTCTCGGAGATCTGTTCAGTGTCAAGTGGATGGAAGATCTAGACATGGTACGTCGTTATCGTACATAATATAAAGACATTTTAAACTTTAATAAACTGTACACAAATCCAAATAATATACTCATTAACGTTAGGTAATACTTACATGCTTATAGGTTAATATAAGCTATATAATATGGTATCAAATAATTAGAGCTGCACCCACATAATAACCTGGTAATGGTAAATACTCAAAATAATGTGATAACTTTTGTGACGTTGCGTTCCATCAATTGGACACTGCAGATATTGCTAAMAATACTTCAAAAATTGTATTTTTGGAACTCTCCAAAAAATGTCTATATGATTCCAAATATTAGTGCCACCAACGTCCACAAGCTCAAAATTTGAGTGATTTATGCGACACTTGTTAACCGAAATCAATTTTTATATTAGTAACTTTATTTTATTCAGTCAATTATAAAAAGTGCCTATATGAAATTATTGACTATCGGTGATTAGTATAAAAAATATTTGGTATACCTACTAAGTATCTTGAGAATTTTTAATTTTTTTWAAATTGTTTCAATTATATTCAGCATACGTCCAAACTCTCAGCAAGGAGACGAACCATTTTCAACGACTTCAGGGTGGTCAGAACAAACGTMTCCAAAAGTAATGTCATGATTTACGGAGATTTGGAGTTAGGAAGCGAGAAACTATCTTCGTTTATCGGTTATACTGGAAATGACGATGTTCAGTCGTCATATGTGAAACAGTCAAATGAATTCAATATTAAAGTAAAATATCATGTTATTTTTATTTAACATACAATTATTATTGATTTTCAAAACATGCAACGTACATGGTTCTCACGCATGATATTATTTTGTTCCGTTATAGAACACAGTATCCAGCCGAGATGTATACGAGAGTAACATACAATATGGATTGGCACAAGATGAGTTGTCGCTTTCGGAATCGCTCAAGTTGTCAGCGGAGTTACGTCAAAATAAAGAAGTAATTATCACTAACGATCGTTTATAAATAACATAAATTTATATTCCACGGGTCATTGATCATTAGCTTGTTAAAAGATACGAAGGTTAGTGACTTTTCGAAGAAACTTTCCGCAATTTTACAAAATATTCTGATTTTTGATAACCGCAAAGCGTTTATTGACTCATGTGTAATAAAATATACATTTGCACCTACACATTTTTTAATTGTGTGCTAGATGAGATCCGTCATAGACTCTGTATTACGGAACATTTATTCGGAGGTCGTGAAGGCGAGACCTAACATCAAGAGTGAAATCGGTGAATACCACGAACCCAAATATTTAAAACTGAATTTGGCCATGTTCCCGTGCTACAGAAGCATTTTGAATAAAATCACTGAGAGCTGCTTTTCTTTGCCACGGGTGAGTGTGTACAAAAAATATTGATTTTATATTATCGTCTATAATTATGTCTTATTAGTGATTTCCACACGTGGTCGAGTTTTAAACTTTTGTGACCAAAACAGGMAAAAAACTCGCTCTACGTGAACAGTAAATTGCGTTATTCGCACAAGTCATGATTTGATCGAATACAATATAATATAAATAACTACGAATTGTACACTAACTCATTATCACATATGCTTGAACCACAGTGTAATAATTGTAAAATTAATTATAACATTAATTGCATACTGTTGTTGGTTACAGAATCCATACGTCTTGGACCACTTAACGGTTTTCGCTAACATGTGTGTCGTCGACAATCAAATCAACCAGATAGTCGACAGTATTGTCGTTCAATCATGTTTGGATGTACCAAAAAACATAACAAACGTACAATAAAATTGTTTTA